TTTTTTTTTTTTTTGACAAGTATTTAATTATCATTAGATGTAGAAACAAAGGGTTGTTTTTATAGCATTGTGAGATAGTAATAAAGTTGTACATTAATTAAAAAAGAGATGATAAACCTAATGGGGACTGGATATTTGACTCATTTGAGATGGATAGTTATTGAAAAGGAGATGAAAAGTGAAAACATTAGAGGGAATGTGAAATATTCAGACAAGAACAACATTGAAAAGTCATAACAGGCGAACTCCACATGATGTTAGAGGTGGGAAAGAAGGGTGCTGTACAAATAATTTATTTTAAAAATCTTTATATGACATTCATAGGCATACATGGACTAATATGGGGGAGAATTCTATGTTACTTGCCGCTGTTGGATTGCACGCACGCGCGCTTGTCTAAGTGGCAGACTTGCACGCTTCGAGATCATATGTAACAAATTTTTAGTTTTGTTGTTTGACTTGGATGAATTTTAATTTATTTTCAATCAAAAAATAACTAGATTTGGAATATCTATAAATCTATCGGACTTTTATGGTTCCTTTTAAGAGCAATTATTATGTTTTAATACTATTTCCTGTTGTAGACGTGATTTATAAGGTTATTTTTGTTTCCAATCATTCTTTTAAAAATTATAGCAAATTTACCAACTTAAATTATAAATATATTTAAAAGTTAATAATATTTATTTATTTATGAAATTATATATAATATATAAAATTAATCATTTCTTGATGAGTTTTGATTTGACATCTATATAATACATACAAAATACATTAATAAATAATTTTATTTATTAAAATAAAATGTTCTATTAATATTAATTTGAAAAAAAAAATTATTTGAACTAACTTAATTACAAAGTAGTTACCTGATATAAATAAAAAAATCATAATATATGATAGTAAGCCATGTAAGTGACGGTGTTAATGTTACATATAAATAATAATATATTTTTTGAAAAAGTATTTAAAAATCTAGGTGTTAATGTTACATATAAATAATAATATATTTTCTGAAAAAGTATTTAAAAAACTAAAACAATTTTCGTTGACATAATTATTAATTTTAAATATAATTTATGAAAAAGTACCCGTGTAGTACACGGTATTACACTAAATATATAAAACTACATGTAAAAAAATATTTTGTTCAACTAAAAGTACTATTTCACATTATAAAAAAAGTATTTTGTTGGGATTAGTTATATCCACATATTCCGTCAACTTGAAAAATATTTTGCCTTGAACTATATAGGTATTATTTATTTATTAATGTGAATAAAAGAATTATTTGTTGGGAATAATTACATCCACATCTCCCCCAACTAGACCTAATTACATTCACACCTACAATGGGCTTCTTGAAAGGGCAATAAGGACCACCATATTATATGGATTTCATACTTATGTTTTGTTTTTGTTTTTTTTTT